CTGTTAATGAAGAATGGAAGATTCCAGGTAAGTGCAGGTACACCTGTTAATGAGGAATGAAAGATACCAGGTAGGTGCAGCGACACCTGTTAATGACGAATGAAAGATTCCAGGTAAGTGCAGGTACACCTGTTAATGAGGAATGAAAGATACCAGGTAGGTGCAGCGACACCTGTTAATGACGAATGAATGATACCAGGTAGGTGCAGCGACACCTGTGAATGATGAATAGAAGATCCCAGGTAGGTGCAGCGACACCTGTTAATGACGATTGGAAGATCTCAGGTAGGTGTGGGTACACTTGTGAATGATGAATAGAAGATCCCAGGTAGGTGCAGCGACACCTGTTAATGAGTGATGGAAGATCCCAGGTAGGTGCGGGTACACCTGTTAATGACGAATGGAAGATCCCAGGTAGGTGCAGCGACACCTGTTAATGACGAATGGAAGATCCCAGGTAGGTGCAGCGACACCTGTTAATGACGAATGGAAGATCCCAAGTAGGGACTGGTCGATGTGAAACTTATATTACTGCCTTTTTACACTTTAACTCATCCTCAAGATATCAGAGAGAACCGTAGGAACCTTAAAGTTCATAAATACTTGAATAAATCATTATTACCTTCACTAGATGCCGCTGAATTTAAGAACCAATTAAATACTGTAATATTTGAATATATTTGTGTGCTTTCACTGAGATTATAACCATCATTTGTGTGTGTGTGTGTGTGTGTGTAATGTATCGTTCTTCCAACAACTAAACACAAGTTTATGTTGGAATATAACTTAAATAAGATGTTTACTAGCAGGTTTCTTTTCATTCCCAATCTTCCTTTTAAACTGACGTCACTCGTGAAATATTATACCAAAGAATCAATACTTTTTTCTGGTTATTGGATAAGGTCAAATACACTTATATGTTTTAAATAAAACATTCCTATCAGTATTCCTGTCTTCGCTAATAATGTAAGCTGATTATAATAAATTGTTTTAACATGTTACAGGATCACACGTCCAGATTTCTTGTCTAATAGTGTAACTTGACAATATTAAACTGATCTAACGTGTAACTGGATCACACATCCAGATTTCTTGTCTAATAGTGTAACTTGACAATATTAAACTGATCTAACGTGTAACTGGATCACACATCCAGATTTCTTGTCTAATAGTGTAATTTGACAATATTAAACTGATCTAACGTGTAACTGGATCACACATCCAGATTTCTTGTCTAATAGTATAACTTGACAATATTAAACTGCAGTTTAATATTGTCAAGTTACACTATTAGACAAGAAATCAGGATGTGTGATCCAGTTACACGTAAGATCAGTTTAATATTGTCAAATTACACTATTAGACAAGAAATCAGGATGTGTGATCCAGTTACACGTTAGAGATCTAACGTGTAACTGGATCACACATCCAGATTTCTTGTCTAATAGTAGTTTAATATTGTCAAATTACACTATTAGACAAGAAATCTGGATGTGTGATCCAGTTACACGTAGATCAGTTTAATATTGTCAAGTTATGATTTCTTGGCTCAACTCTTGACTCAGCTTGTCACTACATCAATATGTTTGAAAAGACTGTTTCATGACTCGGACGAGTTTAGTTTAAAAGCTTTTACTGTCACGCGATGACATGACCATCCAACTTCTATTTTGTTTCATATCATTTCAAAATCGGAGATATTTTGGTTAGGTATATTCGGTTTCAAAGAGTTGGGTGGGTTCATGCAAAGTGCTACCTCTTAGTTCAAAGGATCTCTTGAGGGTTTTTTGGGTTCGTGCAAAGTGCTACCTCTTCGCTCAAAGGATTTAAAGGGTTATCTAGGTTCATGCAAAGTGTTACCTCTGGGCTCAAAAGATCTCTTGAGTGCTGTGTAGGTTCATGCAAAGTGCTATCTCGGGGTTCAAAGAATCTCTAAGATCAAAAATCAAATGTTCTTTTTTGACCTAAAGCAGCTACTTCCTGAGTTACTTCCTGAGTCCATTTTGTAAAACTTTGGTTGTTATATGGTATAATTCAATGAAACTAATTAGTGATTTTACATAATGAAACTCAAGTAGTTCGCTTAGGATGTTAAAATGAATTCATGATAAGAAAAAAAAAAAGCTTCACTCTTAATCTTCCATTCTGTATGTAAAACGTTTAACTGAAAATCATGAGTTAAAAAAAAAGATAAACTGAAACTCACATTGTAATTAAATTAGTTTTTTAAACATACCTGGTTTTGATGGTTAGTCTTTGTTGTTGTTTCTTTACTGTATTCCACAGGTCATGCATGGAGAGGTGTACATCCGAAACGAGTCTTTCTGAGAGGTAACTTAAAACGAGAACAGTCCTTTGATTCGTTCTACTGGGATCTCCGCTCACCGAAACACGAAATAGGAACCAGTCTTGAAGACATCAAGCGAGTACCCTCTCCCTTCGGATCCCGGGAAACTCTTCATCTAGCTGGTACAGTATGGGACGGCTCAGTTGGGAATCGGGCTATTCGGATCCCCTCCTTATCGGATAGTGGAGGCGTTCAACCAAAGTCTAAACTGCCCAAACATAAAGTGTTGAAGAAGCAGCACAGTATGTTCGCGTGTTTTCCCGAGTTCACCCAACAACCCCAGTCTCCACTTCTGTCTCCACAACATCCAAAAGTGGATGGAAAATCAGATTTGCTTGTCCGTTCCCCAGTAACGAGGTTAGCAAAAGAATTCCCCAACATCAGTCGGGCTGAGAGTCTAGAAGAAAATGAAACAACTCCAGAGAAATCCGAATCAAAAAGTGTTGTGGTTATCAAAGAGTCTAGCGTATGCTCCATCGCATGAAAATTTGGGAAATTTTTACTAAATATTCAAAGCATTTCATAAAGTAAACAAAAAACTTATTTCTTCTTCGGTTATCTGCTCATGCATCAGGTTTTGTTGTTTTTTTATCCCTGAAGCTTATGGTGTATTGCGTAGTTGGCTATTATTTGTTAACTTATTTTAATTGTATGTGTGTTATCAGCTCTGTGTCAGATCAGGGTTCCTAGCACTATCAAATAACTTTTAAGGCTTTTTAAGATCAAGCTAAAGACCCGTAGACATGTATTTGTATGCTATTTATTGTATCACATAATAATAATGCAAGAATAATATTAATGAACAATACATCAACTTTGAAAATCCAATTATTCATTATATTGAATTTTACTTCAACTTCTTCTAAAAAGCCAATGAAATTTCAAAACTGAAAAAAAAAATCATCAAGCTGGGAATGTATTAAAAACGGTAGGCCTAGTCCCGCTATTTGAATTAACCGCATTGCGCATGTCTATTAAAACAGCCAAACTCAATTTAGTACTCCCAGTTTCGTGTAGGCCTAGACAGAATGAATGCAAAGTACTGTAATGCTGTTAAACATAAGTGCAATGTGGACCAAACCAGAGTTGCGAAAAGATACGGCACCAATACCACAAAAATTAAATTGAAGACCTCAAAAATCAAAATCTATGAATTTAAGACTTTTTAAGGGCCTAACACTGATCATTGTTGTAAGATATTATAAGTGTCCAACTACTTTATCTCATTATCCAGATGGGTTACATACAATTGTCAAAATACATTATATGTATAGTCTTTTGAAATGTCTTTTATTCACACTGAAAGCTTTTGTATTTCTATAGGAAGTTCAAGAACACGCAGGTTAGTTGCTACTAATTTTATTATTGTGAGTTATTCAGCCAGCCAAACGATAGCTTGGGCTTCACGTTTATATTTTAGTACAAAATAAATTAGATCTTGACATAATTGAAACAATACTTGGACTTTTGAAAGCTACAGTATTAGAATACACGTCGTTGGTTCTCACGGCAAATCAAACTTAACGTAACGTAGGCACGACCTCTAATTTTTATATTTGGTAAAATACAAATTGCTAAGCTAGGACCCTGTGTAAGGATTGTGTTTGGCTTTGGATTACAGGTGATATAAGGCTAATCGTGTAATCTCGAGAAATATTTACTAGTTTTGAAATTTTGTTGGAATACACAAAACTACACAATGGGTTATCTGTGCTCTAATAAAAACAATGAGATTTTCAAATTAATTTATAACTTACTATACTCTTTATTTCTTCATCGATATGCAAAAGTTCTTAGTCTTGTATAGTGGATACCCAAGCCTTTTTTTTTCATTGTTAATTAACTGAAAGACACTTTATTTATACGTACGGATTCTACAGTAAGAAAAATATTTCCATCTTTAGAAACCCATTAGTTTAGAGGGACAGGTTTAATAAGTAGGACCGCAAATACGTTTACGTCTATCACAAGTTTCGCGACTTTCTGCAAATATGTATGCTTCAGTTTCAATACATCAATTTTAAGATAAAGAACCTTTCGCTGTATTTGTTTAACCTACAGAAAATATTTCCGTCACAGTATGTTGAACAACTAAGTTTAGATTAGACGGCACGAGACATGTTCGGTCGAATATATAACTAATTTAGGTATCACCTTATTGTGCAAGTAGACGTGTTGCAGGCAAATTAAAAGTGAGGCATTTTTACTGGGACAGATTGAAATGCGGGGGGCAGTCCCCCACTTCACTGTCAAACAATACCTTAATGGGATTAAAAGAAAATAAAGATAGAATAATTATTTTTTGAGTTAAATCCACGGATTTCGCTTCTATTAAACAACCGCCAATGTGTTTTCAGAAATATTTTCATACAATTATATCGAATTGCATCAAATGGCCTAGGAATTAGTGTATGGCGCTGTATATAGAGACGTGAATACAGTTCGCACTTTTAACTATGGATGGGTTATAAAAGTGAAAGTCAATCCCATTAAAAGATTTGAACAAAGCCCTTTTTGGCAACGAGGCTGCTAGCTGGTTGCCTTCTCTCTGATCAGTAGTTCCAAACAGAAACAGTTTTATACATGAACCTTAGGCGTCTGATCTGGCAGTTTAGACCACACATGCGCATAAGCTGTCATTCAGGTTGACATTTGTAATTTCAAGATGTTAAAACTCTGAGGTTGATGTGCTGTGTTGACCCCAGATTTTCAGAAGCTAACGTAGATAACCAATGTAAAAACTTTCTTGGAAACAAGTCTTTGTCCATCACAACTTTAACATTTTACTCTCTTTTGTCGAAATGGTTGTAAAATTGCAGTAAATGAGATATAAAAAGATAAGCCCTATAAAAGTGGGATGTTATACATATAACCATATAAACTGTTATAATACCGTATTTTGTACGCATGGGATCAGTTGTATCACTTCAAATATAGATGTTAAGTGTATCACTGTTTGTATGTTCATTGGTTATCTGTTCCACACATCCACGCGACATTTTGTTTCTTTTTAACTCGGGACATGTGCTGTAATTCTCTACTTGTACATCTTTCTAGAAAATACTTTGCAACTATATATATATATATATATATATATATATATATATATATAT